GACTACAGGCACGTGCCACTGTGCCCAGCTAATTTTTTCTATTTTTAGTTATTTGGCTAATTTCTTTCTATTTATAGTAGAGACGGGGTCTTGCTCTTGCTCAGGCTGGTCTTGAACTCCTGAGCTCAAGAAGTCCTCCCACCTCAGCCTCCCAAGAGTGCTAGGATTACAGGTGTGAGCCACCGTGCCAGGCCGTAATAGATTACTTTTGTGAGTTCTTTAGGATTTTCTATATACAAGATCATGTCACCTGCGAATAAAGATAACTCTATTTCTTTCTTTCCAATCTGGATGCTTTTTATTTCATTTTCTTTGCTGATTGCCCTGGCTAAAACTTCCAGTACAATGTTGAATAGAAGTGGTGAGAGAGAGTGGACATCCTTGTTTCTGATCTTAGGGGAAAAGTCTTTCACCATTAAGTATGATGTTAGCTGTGAGTTTTGCTCTCACTTTGTCATGTTGAGTAAATTCCCTTTTGTTCTTAATTTGTCGAGTCTTCTTATCATGAATGTTGAATTCTATGAGACGCTTTTTGTGCATCTGTTGAAATGGTCAAGTGGTTTTTGTCCTTTATTCTATTAACATTACATTAACTGATTTTTAGATATTAAACCAACCATACATTCCTGGGATAAACCCTACTTAGCCATAGTGTGTACTTATTTTTATATTCTTCTAGATTTAGATTTGGTTTGCTAGTGTTTTGTTGAGAATTTTTGTGTCAGTTTACATAAGAGATACTGGTCTGTTGTTTTCTTGCGATGTATTTGTGTGGTTTTGGTATCGAGGTAATAGGCCTGATAGAATGGCTGCGAGTGTTTCCGCTCCTCTTCTGTTTTTCTGTTTATTAATTTTCACCAGTTAGGCTTATTTTGCTGCGGGTCCTGCCCACAAAGCTCCCTCCATTGTAGTTCTGGGAGTGGAACTCCCCTTCACTGGTTGTTAATTTTAGATTAGTTCTGTGTTTTAAAATTATTCTTTTAGCTTTCCTATTATTCATCATCATTCTTGTGACTTCTGTGAAAGCAAAACAAACAAATATTTCGCCCTTAGAATGCTCCAGTGTTTTTTATCATTCTATACAATCTGTTATTTGTTGGGAAAAGAATCTAAATTTGAATGTTCTAGATAATGGTGATCACATTCCAGAATGAGAATGTTACCTGTAATCCTGTATTTTACATTTCTATTAAAATTTTTAAAAACTTTTTATGGCTCAATAGTATTGGGTAGCTAAGGTTACCCAAGCAGCAACATTGCAGTATGTTTTGGAGGGAATAATGTGTATCCAGATTCAGAGCACTGCTGATTAAATTACCTTCTGCAACAGTAGGGTGTCCTGTTTTGGGTTTTTTGTGTTGTTTTTGTATTTGTTTGTTTTTAAAGAGATGGGGTTTCGTTCTGTCCCCCAGGCTGGTGTGCAGTAGTGTGATCATGTGATCATAGCCTACTGTATGCTCTAACTCATAGGCTCAAGTAATCCTCCTGCCTTAACCTCCTGAGTAGCTAGGTCTATAGGCGCACACCACCATGCCTGGCTAAATTTTTTATTTTTTGTAGAGACAGGGTCTTGCTATGTTGCCCAGACTGGTCTTGAACTCCTGTCCTCAAGCACTCCTCCCTCACCTTAGCCCTCCCAAAGTGCTGGTGTTATGGGTGTGAGCCAGGCACCTGGCCCATCTTGGCTTGTTTAACACACCTTTGTACAATTCTAAAATGTTAGAGTCACAGTTTATATTTTACATCTTTATGGTTTTGGGTCATGTTAATAGTGCTAACTTATTCTTTTCCTAGATAGTGATAAACCATGTAAGTTGAGTTTTTAATGACAGCTAAATTCCTCTTTGTCTTAGAGTCGTTGCTTGTAATCTGTATCCCTTCGTGAAGACAGTGGCTTCTCCGGATGTGACTGTTGAGGAGGCTGTTGAGCAAATTGATATTGGTAAGTTAGAAAAACCTTCTAGAGGGCTGATAGGGGAGAGGGTTATTTAATTTTAGTGAGTTGTTTTTTTTTTTTTTTTAATTTTCTATTTGAAATAGAAAATAGTTGCTTCTCCCAGATTATGTTCTGGGATGACTATAATTCATATATATTTTCTAAGCTGTTTTTCTGTGTGTCTGTGTGTATATGTGTAGAAATTCATCTGGATTATTTTTCCTTATTTTTTAAGTGAAGAATTAAAGCAGAAGTATGTGCATAATGATTTTATTTAAAAGAAGTTCAGAAACTGATGTTGAAATGTGAAAACAGTGTCTTTTGTTCTTCAAAGGTGGAGTGACCTTGTTAAGAGCCGCAGCCAAAAACCATGCCCGAGTGACGGTGGTGTGCGAACCAGAGGACTACGCGGCGGTGTCCACAGAGATGCAGAGCTCCGAGAGTAAAGACACCTCCTTGGAGACTAGACGCCAGTTAGCCTTGAAGGTGTGGACATACTTTCAAAATATTGTAAAGATAACATCCATCTAGTGCAGGGTTTGCCAAACCAAACAGTGTTCAATTCTGGCTAGTTATATCACCTACCATGGCTCTGCTTGGAGCTGCTATTCTCTCGTTAAAAGTAGAGAGACTAAATATTGCAGAGATTTTGTCAAAAAGATTGAAAGAGAATTGGAAAGGGATAATTTGTTGTGCCATTCAGTGTTCTTTGGTGTCATGTGCACGGGGTGAGGGCATGTTGTTTGCTGTGTACCTAAAACCATCTTGTCCCTACTTTGGGAAGTGCTGCTGGTATCTCACAAAACTTACACTTTTTGTAGGCATTCACTCATACGGCACAATATGATGAAGCCATTTCGGATTACTTCAGGAAACAGTACGGTAAAGGGATATCTCAGATGCCCTTGAGGTATGGAATGAACCCTCATCAGACTCCTGCCCAGCTGTACACAATGAAGCCCAAGCTTCCCATCACAGGTAAAGAAAGCCCAAGTGTCATGTGGTAGTTTGCCGTGTCTGGGTACATGTGTATCTTTCTCTATATTGGATGTGGTTCATGTTTAGAAGGTAAATTCTGTAATACCTCTTAAAACCACCTGAAGTTTGAGATGCTGGTTGGACTTGTGAATGTGAATGTGAAGGTGCTCTGGGGTACTAGAGGGAGGTCAAGTTGGAGGTAGAGATTGGAATGTCTTTGGCATATAGGTGTTTTTGAAGACATGGGACAGGATGAGATGACCTGAATTTCGTAGAAGACGGTCAAGACTAAGCCTTGGGTACTTTCCAGCTTGAGGTAGACAGTGGAAGAGCCAGAAGAGGAGAACATGGAGAATTTCAACCAGTTGCTATGATATTGAGAACAATAAAGGGACTGTTTGCTTTGGGAATGTTACAAGAAGCAGTTTTCTTGTAATTATGGGTCTAGAAGTTCAGCTGAAGTGGGCCGAAGTAGAAGTGTTAAGTTAGGAAATAATAATGATAAAGATAATTATTTGAACAGAGATTTTAGGACTTCATGGGTTTGTAGAGATAAGAGAAGGTTTTTTTAATTTTTTGTTCTGGTTTGTTATGCTATGAGAGCATGTCCTACTCTGGTAGAAGGCAGAGTGGGAGTAGGGATGGAGGAAGAGTCACAGGCATGAAGGCCTTGAAGGCCCAAGCACAGCAGGGAGGCTGGCTGTTGGGAGGGCCAGGGCAGCCTCCTTCCCCTAGGGAGAAGGCAAGCCGGGAGCACACTGGTCAGTACATTTGGTGGTGGGTAGATAAAGTGTCCTGCAGTGTCCTTTTTCCCTGTCACCAGCTGAAGGAGAGATGGAGAGGGGAGCAGGATGGGAGGTTGAGGGAGTCTTTGAAATATTCTTCAACTTACCACAGTTAGCCTAAGCTATCTATGAGGAGAGGGAGACGGAGGAGTTGTACAAGTGGTGTCTTGTTTTATCTTGCATTTTATATGCCTTAGGGTATATTTTACTTTTATTGTTTACTATTTATTGCCTAGTTTCTTCTATGCCTCTCCCATAAGTTCCATAAGGACGGTGTTTCAGTTTTGTTTTTGGTTGAGGGAACTATTTTTTTAAGTACTTTTTCAAAAATAATCTTTATTTTTTTAGAACAATTGGAAGTTTAAAGAAGAATGTGCAGAGATTATAGAAAGTTTTCATACCCCCTACATCCCCCACCCAGCAGTTCCCCCTATTAACATATCTTACATTAGTGTACATTTTTTATGATTGATGAACCATTATTGATTGATTATTCTTAACTAAGGTCCATAGTTTACGTCAGCATTCATTCTTTGTGTTGTGCATTCTGTGTGTTTGGAGAAGTCATGTGTCCTCATCACAGTATCATGCAGAGGAGTTTCACGACCCTAAAATTCCTGTGCTCCACCTCCTCCCTTCTTTCCCCTCTCCCCAACCCCCTGCAATCACTGAGCTTTTAATGGCTATGTTTTTGCTGTTTCCAGAATGTCAGGTTGTTGGAATCATATAGTATGGAGCCTTTTCAGACACTTAGCAACATGCATCAAGGTTCCTCCATGTCTTTTCATGGCTTTCTTACCACTAACTAATATTTCATTGTGTGTGGATGTACCACAGTTTTTTTAGCCATTAATCTGTTGAAAACATCAAAACTTGAAGGACAATTTTTGGCAGTTATGAATAAAACTGCTGTAATCATTGGTGTACAAGCTTTTGTGTGGATATAAGTTTTCAACTCATTTGAATAAATATCTAATATTTTCTTTCATGGTTGACTGTATCACCTATTTTGTTTCTTATTTGCCTCCCCCATAAGCTCCTGGGGGATGGTGATTCTTTTGGGGGTGAGAGGGACTATTTTATTCACTGATGTGTTCCAAGTACCTCAAAGAGTGCGTAATATTGTAATAGGCACTCAGTTAATGTTTGGCAAGGTATTACTTTTCTTTTTTCTTTTTTTATATAATAGCTTTATTGAGATATAATTCACATACCATACAATCCACCTATTTAAATTGTACAATTTAATGGGTTTTAGCGTATTCAAAGAGTTGTGCAACCACAATCAATTTTAGAACATTTTTATCAACCCAAAAAGAAGCCTACCCACCAGTAGTCACACCCATTTACTCAAATCCCCTGTGCCCTAGGCAGTCACTGATCTACATTCTGTGTCTATGGATTTGCCTGTTCTGGACATTTTATGTAAATGGGATCATACAGTATGTGGCCGTTTGTGACTGGCTTCTTTTATTTCAGATATTTTCGAGGTTTATCCATGTTGTATCCATGAAATAACCATACTTCATTCCATTGTATTGCTGAACAATATTCATTGTGCGGCTATACCACATTTTATTTATCCATTCCTCAATTAATAGACATTTGGGTTGTTTCCATTTTTTGACTCCTATGAATAATCCTGCTATGAGCATTCAGGTACAGATTTTTGTGTGGACATGTTTTCATTTATCTTGAGTATATATCTAGGAGTGGAATCACGGGGTCATTTAGTTACTCTATGTTTAACTTTTTGAAGAGCTGTGACACTGTTCCACTGTCCACTGTTTTCCAAAGTGGAAGCACCATTTTATACCAGCAGTGTATGAGGGTTCTAATTTCTGTACATCTTCACCAATGCTTATTATTATGTCTTTTTTATTATAGACCATTGGGGGTGTGAGGTAGTATCTCATCGTGGTTTTGATTTGCATTTCCCCCAATGGCTAATAATGTTGTAGTTTTTACAATATAAATTTTGCACTTCTTTCATTAATTTTCCCCCAAAATATTTTATTCTCTTTGATGCTGTTGTAAATTGAATTGTTTGCTTAGTTTTACTTTTTGGATTGTTCATTGCTAGTGTATAAAGTAGGATTGATTTTTGTATATTGATCTTGTGCCCTCCAAGCTTGCTAAACTTGCTTATTCTAATTGATTTTTTTAGTAGCTTCCTTAGGATTTTCTGTGTATAAGATCATATCATCTGCAAATAGAAATAGTTTACTTCTTTTTTTATTTCAAAATATTAAGGGAATACAGATGTTTTCGTTACATGGATACCTAGTATAATGCTTAAGTAAGAGCTTTTGATGTGCCTGTCACCAAAATAGTGTTCATTGTACCCAATATGTAAGTTTTTATCCCTCACCCCCACCACCCTCTCCCTTTCTAGCTTTCCAATGTCCTTTATATTTCTTTGTGCTCATATGTACCCATTGTTTAGCTCCCACATATTAATGAGAACATGTGGTGTTTGGTTTTCCATTCCTGAGAAACTTCACTTAGGATAATGGTCTCTGATTC